ACAGCGTCGAGTAACACAGCATCTCAGCCCAACAGTGTCGAGTAACACAGCCTTCTGGTACAGCCTTGAGCGATAGTAGGCTGGATCACTACAGGGAATTCTAATTGTAAATGTGAGACGAAAGGTGAAGGTATTGCGTAATATAGTGGTGCTGGTATACGGTTCAGAGAGAGAGAGAGAGAGAGAGAGAGAGAGAGAGAGAGAGAGAGAGAGAGAGAGAGAGAGAGAGACGGGACGTGTACTCGGAACCTTAAGTGGCATAGTTAAGTGATTGGTTCTCTCACCTGGAACCTTAAGTGGTATAGTTAAGTGATTGGTTCTCTCACCAGAAGCTTTGTAAATTATGAGGTAATTATCCTAAAAGTCGTAAACCATGAAACCCAGGACACTAAGAACGATAATAAAGAACACAGAGTCTTGTAATTTAACTTTTGATCAGCTACATTAACACTATTTCTGGGAATGGTAAGTTTCTATACGATCATATTTCAAAAGTTTTCGAACTTTATTCACTTCGTTATTATTATTTTTTTGTGGTGCGTTAGTTATAAGCATTGACAAAGTCCATTTTTTCTTTGGCGACGTCTCCTGTGTTCGTCATTACTGTGTGTGTGTGTGTGTACTACTCACCCCCCACCCTGTCGTTGTTTACAAACACATCGGAAGTGCTTACCTTCGCAAAAAAACACGTAAATAATAGCCTTTACGAACGACGTGTAAAAAAAATCATCTCGTATTACAGGCCAGGTCGTTTGTTTCCAGTAGGTAGTGAGCCAGTACCTCGGCGGGTGCCTTATATGACGAGACAATCAAGGCAAATAGAGCAGTATCTGGGTCTAGGTGTATCATTCAGCCTGACCTATACTTGCCAACAACCCGGCAGTGTTGTGTGAAGGATGCCGTGACCGACGACCGTATCCACACCCCGGCACGCGAGGCCCAATTGTTCACTTTACTGCTTCAGACGTCGCAGCTCTTGACTCTCTGTAGTGAGGATCGCTACACTTCCAAGGACCAACTCTCTACTGGATTGAGACGTACTTAAAACTTACTTTTATAAGTTTTGCAGATGTACGCGGGACACAAATAAACCTCAGAATTTATTAAAAATCAAAGCGAGAGATAGATAGAGCGAGGTCGGGTTCCACACTGCATTATAAAACCATTGTTATTAGGTCGATAGTTTAGGGAGTGGCTCCTCAAATTTCAGTTTTTGTTTTTTAGCGGTGGAAGTGTTGCGGTGTTGTTATTGTTGGTAATGGTGGTGGCGGTGGTGACGGCGGCGACGGCGGCAGGCAGTGGCAACAGGGGCAGTGGTGGTGGTCGCTGCGGCGGTGGTGGAGACGGTGGTGGTGATGCAGACGGTGGTAGTGGTGGTGGTGATGCAGACGGTGGTGGTGGTGGTGGTGGTGGTGGTGGTGGTGGTGGTGGTGGCGGCGGCGGCGGCGGCGGCGGCGGCGGTGCAGGTGGTGGTTGGGCAGCGGTGGCGACGGCGGCGGTGGCGGCGGCGGCGGTGGCGGCTGGCGACGGCGGCGGTGGGCCGGCGGCGGCGGTAGTTGTTGCAGCACGTTTCATGCATTGATCCAAGTTAGAGCTATCGGTGTGGGCCGCCCTGCACCCAAACATTACACCCCAGTTTTCTTTCTCATGTCAAGAACCTTCTACTTACACTGCAGTTCAGTAGCTGAATCATATCTGTCCCTTGTTGCGGCTTATGACCAGCAGTGTGGAGGCGAGGAGAAGGGATTTTGTTCAATATCACCTATAATTAATTTTAATCATAGTTTCCTTTAACCATATATACATATTTATACATATTTGACTTAACTCGTGTGTCAGTTACGTCCAGTGATATATTATTTAGGTAATGGGAGTGAGGGAAGCAGGAATTGTGTATCTGAAACACGACTAAATTATTTTACTCGTGTGGTTTTTACCCCCTGTGTTGAGATGGTGCACGTGACCCTTGGTTCAGCCACTATTGCATGCTTGTTTTTTGACGGTGAAGGAGGAGGCGAGGAAACACGATCATGATAATATTAAATATGACTACCTACTGCACGTCTCCCCCGTCACGGTGTCTCAACTATTATTTATGTTTCAAACACTCTTCTTCATGTTTATCCTTGACGTCATTTTCGACAAGGGATTAAGACGAAGATGAAGTGTTTTGTTTAAGCAATATTCAAACAGTGTGACTTGTACTCGTATAATTATCTTATATAAAGCCAAGTTTACTCTATCAACTGAGAGGAAATGAGCCGTGGAAACTTTCATGGTTTGTTCACGTTCACAATTCTACGAGAAATCTTAAAACATGTGTAAATGTGAGATTGCATGACGTAATTATATTATGAACGTGAAGACTTCTCAACATTCCATTCTTTCTGCCGCAGTGTTTGTCAATAAATTCAAACGTACAAAGGTTCGACTAAACATGGTGATTATCAAGACACACGATGGATAAAATGACTGCAGAGGAAAGTGTATTAGTAACAGGAAGAACAGCGTTGAACGGGACAGTATAACTTCATTGTAACTAAAAATTCTAATGAACTTTCAATAGGTAGACAAACATATACTTTAGGTGGATAACAGTTAAATATATAGTTAACATATACCTAACTTTAAGAACGCCTGGATTTATTTAGTGCTAATGGGTAATTAAACTCGTTGGCCTTAAACGACACAAGAGCAGTACAAAAATAGCTTTACTATATACTGCCACCCGTAACATTAGAGAAATATACTAATATAACAACGACAATGTCGCTAAACTATGTGGTGTTCCACTTAGTTCTCACCGTGGACGTGGTGGTAGTCTCTATAATTCTCTTACACCAAGCGGGAAGACAGCGCTCTCACTCTCTCTCTCTTTCTTGGGTTTGACCAGCGAATGGAAACATCCTGGAGGACTGGAGTAATCCGCAACACCCAATAAGAACACGTACTGGGGATTAACTAAATCGCTGTAATCAAAGAGTGAGGACCGACGGTACATGTATTGAGCCTCAAGTACTCGGTAGTAACCAACAGCAACACATAGTAAGGATCAAAAACTTACAGACAACCAGTGAGAAAACATATTGACATGCAAATATTCCTCAGCAACCAAGAAGAACTATGAGTGAGATTGAAGCGTCTCTTAACATCAGGAGAAGGATACAAGTAACCAGTAGGAGATCGGGATAAGTTTAGCGGCCTCGTGCATGCAGCCGATCGAAGAGGAGTTAGAAGCTTTGTATTCAAAAGCACTCTAGAGTTTATGAATTTTCAACCAACCAATGGGAACACAGTGCACATATACAATAAAACCTATCAGCCAATGGCAGCGTCCAATAACTGGAATGATTTCCAGCAGCCAAGAGGAAAATAATTTGAGATTAATGTATCACAGTTTTCAAAATAATAACATGGACGGCGTGCAGTGAAAATCTCCGACTACGGGTTTAACAGAGTAATTATTCAACGAGGCGGCGGCCATCAGTGTATTTACTCTACTGATTATTCCTTAATGTTCATTAGCTTGAGAAGGAACTCTGCTGGAAGCAACATAATGAAGAAACAGACGATTCAATTATGCAATAATGAAGCCGCCGCCAGTCTCCCTAACATCTCCTTGTATAGTCATATTCATGAGCAACTCCAGCATTCATTAAGATGCCAAGTGGCTTAATGATTTCAGTTCAACATCAAACGCCGGAGTCTTAATATTAATGCAGGAAAAGAATGTTCCGAGACCCTGGCCGGGTTCACCAAGTTTTACCGAGGCAGGGTTGAAGAGTCTTGATAATACTGCTTACATGAACCAAGGCAAGACACGTGGTAAGTTACTCAAAAAGTAGGATGCAATATTTATGAGAATATTATTTACTACACAGGATGAAAGATTCACGGTAATTTTACTTACATAAATAAAAACAAGAATTATGATAATATAAAAGTTACAAGCACAGAGACAAGATATATGATAACATTACTTACACGAACGGAGGCAAGACTTACGACAGTATTCCTTACAGAGCCGGAAGCAAGCTGTATATTGTTTATAGGAGCGGATGCAAGAATCGTATTAAAATTCCTACAGGAACATGCGAAAAATTCCTAATTAAGACCATAGCTGTAAGGTCGACAGTTAACCAGGTTCTAAATACAATTGTAAAATAAAACTTAAATAAATAAGACTGTCATGAAAATAAATACAGAATAAAAAGACTACAACTATAATTCACTCGACGAGACCACTGGCTATAGTCCAGACTACAGTGACGTGATGGCCATATTAACATAACACTCGGCTAATCCCGTTAACGATAACACTCAAGTATATAGCGGGTATATATCTGGGTCATAGCAACTCGGCTATAATCATAAAAGAGTGTATAACAAATGTCTATGGCCTATGAACGTGTCCATAGTAAAGCACATGATTATAAACACAGATCAGCTGGTGAAGTAGAGCTCTATAGAAAAGTAAATAGATCAGGTATCGATGAATATAACTCTATAAAACAAAAGATCAGCTGATGAAACACATGACTCCCTAACACGTCAACAGAGATCAGCTGATGAAACACATGACTCCATAAAACGTCAACAGAGATCAGCTGATGAAACACATGACTCCATAAAACGTCAACAGAGATCAGCTGATGAAACACATGACTCCATAAAACGTCAACAGAGATCAGCTGATGAAACACAGGACTCCATAACACGTCAACAGAGATCAGCTGATGAAACACATGACTCCATAACACGTCAACAGAGATCAGCTGATGAAACACATGACTTCATAACACGTCAACAGAGATCAGCTGATGAAACACATGACTCCATAAAACGTCAACAGAGATCAACTGATGAAACACATGACTCCATAAAACGTCAACAGAGATCAGATGACACATGACTCCATAAAAACAGAGACATCACTCCTAAAACGTCAACAAGATCAGCTGATGAAACACTGACTAACGTTCACTCGACGAGACCAGCTGATGGCATATAGTCCAGACGTACAGTGACGTGATGGCCATATTATGACTCCATAAAACACTCGGCTAATCCCGTTAACGATAACACTCAAGTATAAAAGCGGGTATATATCTGGGTCATAGCAACTCGGCTATAATCATAAAAGAGTGTATAACAAATGTCTATGACAGGCCTATGAACGTGTCCATAGTAAAGCACATGATTATAAACACAGATCAGCTGGTGAAGTAGAGCTCTATAGAAAAGTAAATAGATCAGGTATCGATGAATATAACTCTATAAAACAAAAGATCAGCTGATGAAACACATGACTCCCTAACACGTCAACAGAGATCAGCTGATGAAACACATGACTCCATAAAACGTCAACAGAGATCAGCTGATGAAACACATGACTCCATAAAACGTCAACAGAGATCAGCTGATGAAACACATGACTCCATAAAACGTCAACAGAGATCAGCTGATGAAACACAGGACTCCATAACACGTCAACAGAGATCAGCTGATGAAACACATGACTCCATAACACGTCAACAGAGATCAGCTGATGAAACACATGACTTCATAACACGTCAACAGAGATCAGCTGATGAAACACATGACTCCATAAAACGTCAACAGAGATCAACTGATGAAACACATGACTCCATAAAACGTCAACAGAGATCAGCTGATGAAACACATGACTCCATAAAACGTCAACAGAGATCAGCTGATGAAACATATGACTCCCTAACACGTCAACAAAGATCAGCTGATGCTTGAGTCTGCCTCTCTCGGGTACGTCATACCGTTAGCATAATGCGATGATAATATTTTCTCTCATACATATAATATTATTCTAATAGTATGTGATATAATTAGCTGTAATAATAATAATAAGAGACATTTGAGAGAGAGAGAGAGAGAGAGAGAGAGAGAGAGAGAGAGAGAATAACTGGGCTACTGGCGGCTATCAGACAATCCATGGACTTTGGTGGGGGGAGCTAATCGGTATTGTTATTTATACTGGAGAGGGAGAGGAGAGAGGAATTGGAAGGAGAGAAGAAGAGAAGGAAGGGGAAAAACGCAAAGAGAGTAGAAGGGAGAGAGAAGGACGAGAAGGTGAGAACATGAGTAGAGGGTAAGGAGAGGAAGGAGTGGGAGAATGAATGAGCAGGGAGGGAGAACAAAAGAGAGGAGAGGATTAGGGCAGGGTGAGAGCAAGAGTCCAAGAAAGAGTAAAAGGAGTAAAGAGGAGAGGGAGTAGGACTGAGAAGAGTAAGGAAGGGGGAAACATGAGAGGGGATAAAAATGAGGAGCAGAGGTGAGTAAAGGAAGAAGGAAGGAGTAAAAAGAGGTAAAAAAAGTAAATACGGGAAGGGAAAAAACGAAAAGAGAGTGGAAACTGCAACAAGAATAGTATGAGAAAGATTCAAGAAGACAGGAGGAAGAGGGAGAAGAGAGGACACTGGATGTGACAAGATAAGAGAGAGGGAGAGATAAAACAAGTGAGGAGGATCTAAGATGACAGGAAGAGGATCAAGTTGAGAACAAAAGTCCAAGAGGAGTTGGCTAAGAGGAAAGGGGAGGCGACAAGGCGGGTAACATAACTAAGAGGAAACGAACTAAGTACTAAGAAGCAACAAGAGGAAATGAATACATATCAGGAAGAAATCGGGAAGTACCGAGAGAAGAGGAGTAACATGAAACGAAATAGTACCAAGAGGAAAGAGGAAAGTGGATAGTGTTCATAAAGAGGGGCATAAAACTAAGAGATTCTGTGGTAAAGGAGGATGAAGGAAGGCAGTCCACTACATCCACATAAGAGCGATATGGGAGGATAGTAATCAATCTTGTCGAGGGGTAACGCGGGGTGCGATAAGTACCCACTAAATAAAAAAATAAGTAAGAACCCCTTAATTAAAATCCATTTTTTATATTCAATCGGGAGGGGATACTTCGGAGGTCTATACATATACATACATAAGCATTGGTTCATCCTTCTTCCTCTGCCGTTACTGACGTTAGTGTTATCCTTAAATGTGATTAAAAACAAATATAATATAATTGACGAAACGATTATGAAAACCAATTTCATATTTTTTAAGAGCAAAATATTAAAACAAAAGGTTTATATTGTATCATCTTTTAAGACCTTGGTAATCGAATAAGATGTAATAAAAAGTGTTTATATCTGTTTCATCGACTTCCACTTGTCTTATATTCGACTTTATTTCCAACTATTCTTTATTCCAGTGTTCATGCCTATTTTATCCCCCTTATCATTATTATCCATATTACGTTATACCCACCGATCTTTACCACCTACATCACATCCAATAGATTTTCGATTTTCACACCCTATCCCAATTATCACCTTCCGTACCGATATTCAACCCTTTTTAACATTCTGGTGCAAATCGTCCCTATTCCGATATACAAGATTGCAGTGTCAATAATATTCAAGTCACTAAAGCCATCCGATAACTCAAGGCCACAGCTAACTGACCCAGTTCTTAGTCCCACCACTGCTAGACTGACTCAGTTCTTTGTCCCACCACAGCTAGACTGACTCAGTTCTTTGTCCCACCACAGCTAGACTGACTCAGTTCTTTGTCCCACCACAGCTAGACTGACCCAGTTCTCAACCCCACCACAGCTAGACTGACCTAGTTCTTAGTCCCACCACAGCTAGACTGACCCAGTTTTTAGTTCCACCACAGCTAGACTGACCCAGTTCTTAGTTCCACCACAGCTAGACTGACCCAGTTCTTAGTCCCACCACAGCTAGACTGACCCAGTTCTTAGTCCCACCACAGCTAGACTGACCCAGTTCTTAGTCCCACCACAGCTAGACTGACCTCATTCCTGCCAGATAGACTTTATTTGACTCCCTACAGCTACAGGAGGATTAGTGGGATATTCTTTTACTACACCTACAGGAGATTTTTTTTTTGTACTCCTTCTTGTTACAGGGGATTTTCTCTCGACTTCCTATAGCTACGGCAGGATTTCCCGTGTCTCCCAACCAGCCGTAGGGGATTTTCGCTACAATATTTGTGTGGCGGAGGGATTTACCGCCACCTTTCCCTGGCCCCCGTGTGTGTGTGTGTGTGTGTGTGTGTGTGTGTGTGTGTGTACGTTTGATGAATAGTGAACATACATATACTGAGAAAGTAGAAGATGATAGCCGGAGTAATGTATTTTCTAACTGAGATGACTACTACTACTTCTACTACTACTACTACTATTTTTTTTTATTTTTTTTTCTACTACTACTACTACTACTATTACCATCACTACCACCATCAACACAACTACTATAACTCCAATAGGAACCTTTTTTTTTTCATCATTACTATCACCACAACTTACACCAAAAGCCCCAACACCACCTACCATCAGCGGGGTCAATTAATCTCCCCTATCACCCACCTCCTCCTTCTCCCCCGTCACCCCCTCTCCCTCCCTGCCCAAACCCACCAACCACTGCCACAACCCCCACCCCCACCGCCACCAACACAAAACCAAAACCAGTCTCACCAACCATTTCCCCCTTTCTTTTAACCATCACCATCAACCAAAATGCACCAACCAATTAACCAACCAAAGCCACCGCCCCACAAAGAAAACAAGAAAAGATAAAAAAAAAATAACAGAATAAACATGTCTAGTGCCTCCATTCTACCGAACATCAGCTACACCAACCACTATTACCAAACACACTTACAACCTCTATCAGTGTCAACCAAAACACACACACACAAAAAAACTACTATCCATCCACACACACACACACACTGGATCTTCAAACTACCTTCTTGCTAGCTACCCACCAATCAATGACACACACACACACACACACACACATCCTGGACACACAAGTGCAAGTACAATAGCTAGCCAAAAGATATGCTACAACACACCGTTACTTCCTGCAGCATATCACACAGTATTGATTACCACACCAACATGCAGTTGCCAAGCTTACTGCAGTGTCACGGTAACGGTGGTAGGTGGTGGTGGTAGGTAGTGTCTGGGGGTGGGAGGGTGATTGTGGTTGCATGTTAGGAGTGGGTGGGTTGGTTAGACGGGTGTGTGTGTGTGTGTGTGTGTTAGTCTGGTAGGTGTGGCGCCTAGTCCAGTAAGGCGGCGGTGATTGGCTACTGTTACCACCATTGCAATATTCATCAGCACACTTTTTTATAATATTTTAGAGGATATTGGCGGTATTTTCTGGCTATACTTTGGCCTTAAGACAACAGTCAACCGATGAATTGCGGGGATAGTGGTTGTTATGCGGTGGTGGTTGTTTTTGTTGTTGGTGGTAGTGGTTGTTGTTGTTGGTAGTGGTTGTTGTTGTTGGTGTTGACGATATGTAGTGGTGGTAGTGGTGGTGGTTGTTGTTGTTGACGATATGTAGTGGTGGTGGTGGTGGTGGTGGTTGTTGACAATTTGTAGTGGTGGAGGTGGTGGTTGTTGTTGATGGTGTGTAATGGTGGTGGTGGTTGTTTTTGTTGATGTGTAGTGGTGGTTGTTGTTGTTGATCATGTGTAGTGGTGGTGGTGGTTGTTGTTGTTGATGAGTAGTGGTGTTTATCGTTACGTGGTGTGTCTGTAATGGTTGTGGTCATGGTGGTGGTGATAGCAGGGGTAGTGGTGGTGTGGGTAGCATGGTAGGGGTGGTGGTGGTAGCTGGTGCAGAGGTGATGAAGTTAGTAGCAGGGGTAGTGGTAGTTGCGGTGGTAGTAGCAGGGATAGTAGTAGTGGTAGTTGTGGTGGTAGTAGCAGGGATAGTAGTAGTGGTAGTTGTGGTGGTAGTAGCAGGGATAGTAGTAGTGGTAGTAGTGGTGGTGGTCGTATTATCAGGGGGGTGGTGGCGGTGAGTGTGGTAATTAAAGTGTTGTATCAGGAACAGTTATGATGATCACACTAGCAACAGTAGTGATTGTGTTAACTGAAGTAATTGTTATGTGGTGACGGCGTTAATGATGGCAGTGTGATGGAGTGAATGTATGTAAACGAGTCTGAGAGGTGATATAGTGGAGCCGATAGTGGTTGTGGTGGCAGGGTGTGGTGGATGGAGGTGGCAGTGTACTGGTGGCGGTAAAGGGTCAGCGGCGTCTGTAAAGTGCCTCAAGCCAGCTGGATGGTTGGCTGGGTGGCTGGCTGGGGCGGGCACTATGCTGCAGCAGTGGAAGAACACTTGGCTCACCCTAGACTAAGCTAGCCCACTGTGATCGATCTGACATGGACACCGCTCTTCATGTGTACAACCAACCACTTTCTTCTCCCTCTTCTATCCCTTTCTCTATTCTTTACTACTTCGTCTTCCACCCCCCTTACACCCTACATCTGTTCTTTGTGTCTCTTCCCGCCTTTACTCCCCAAACCCTTATGGGCTGTCCACACCCACCATTCCCCCTGGCAGTGCCCCCCCCCCCTCCTCTCCCACTACCTTCCCTGGAGCGTGTCGAGGCCTTCAACCCTGGGGACACTAACAACACCACACCACCACCACACAACGCTTGGGGGTCTGGCCCACTGGTTCACTATGTCCACAGTCCTGCCAGTAATACAGTAGTAATAATAATATTAGCACCATATTGATTGTCCTAACAGTAATAGTAGTAGTGGTGGTGGTAGTAGTAGTACCATGTTGATCCGGCCACATCACCACTGCCAGGAGCACTACCATGTTGCCCTTGCACCACTACCACCACCACAGCACCGCTAAGCATCTGGGGCTCCTCGCTAGATTACTAGCACGTCGGGCCGTTTTCT